ACCACAGGCAGTGCAGTGCTTTTTTCTCCATCAGAAATGCACAGAAAGTAGGTTATATGAGTTCTAATGGCATAGTTCACAAAAGTGCGGTCAGTTCCAGTGCATTTCAGTTCAAGAAATAAAAAGTACAGCGTGCTGCTTTTTTCCTACACAGAACTGTACTGGAGCGTGGTAAAACGCATAAAAAAATGCACCGGACCCCAGCACACTGAAAAAAGCCCCCAAAACATTTGGAATGTCAACAAATATTTTAAGGGCCCACATGCAGTCTATTGCTTTATTTCTGCATTGAAACCCATGGAGAATAGCGTATATGGTTTCCAGTGGCATAGTTCACAGCAGCTCCAGTGTGTTCCAGTTCCAGAAACAAAAGTAGAACATGCCGACTTTTTCTGCAATAGACTGTACTGGAATGTGGTAAACCGCATAAAAAAACGCATTGGAATACACTTAAACACAACAAAAAGGGCACCAGAACGCACGTGTCCTTATTTAAGGTGATGGAAAAAAAGAAGGAAAAAAATGTACCGGAACTCCGAAAAAACGCACTGGAACACATTAAAACCACACATGAACACATCTGGACTGCGTCTCTGTGGTGTGAACTGGCCCAAAAAAAATTAAAAAAAGGCAACAAGAATGCACTGGAACACAAAAAAAAACGAGCATGCAGAAACGTATCCAGAACAGATCTGGAAGACGTTTTTGTGCTGTGAACGGGCCCTTGTACAGGTTTTGCGTGCTCAATGGACTTGTATGGAAATGCAAAACCCGTCTGATGTGAACAAAAGCCCGTCAACACAGGCCCTGAAATTTTTCTTTTCATTTTCTTCTACATTATCCAGCAGATCTCCTCCACCCAGTATTGAATTTAACAAATGTATATATATATTCTTTTATTGAGATGCTTTTTTTTTTTTTTTTTTTAATGTAAAAAATACTTTTTTGAAGAACATGACGCGTTAAATCTGTAACTGAAAGGTTACCAGACACAGAACAAAATGTTGGATTCGATTTAAAATGACATTGCTCGGTGGATTCCCCCAGCTACTCTCTAGTATAAAATGTCACTGTCAAAGGGTTAACATTTGATTTGTAATATTTAATTATGCAATATTTGCGCTTTGTTTTTTTTGCGTATGTTACGGAGTGGTATCAATCTATAGACTTGCTTTTAAATAGCAGACATTACATCTCTGTGTCATTTGATAACCCTTCAGTTTCTAGGAGCAGGTGTAAGATGTTGATTACTGTTGTATTAGAAATGTTTGTTCTGTAGGAGGCCGAATGACGTAGAAACCTCTTTTTCTTTTCTCTGTTGGGTGCTTGAGTGTACTAAAATTAGTGTACTACATTGCATGTCTGTGTGCTGATTAGGGAGTGTTCAATTAACAGCTGCAATTATACTTCCCAGCATAAAAAATCAATTATTACTTGTTGACACTTTTTTGATTTTACAAAAATACAACATGAAAAACGTTAGCCATTTATCTGCATCTCATTTTCCATCTCAGTATTGCATACAAGTTTTAAAGCAGTTCTTTAGCCCTGGAGAATTTTACAGTATAGCTAAGATGTAATTAAATTACATGTGCACACAAACACTTGTTTTGTGAGATTTACCTTCAAATAGAGAGTTTTCCAAGGACTCAGTCCCCTTACCAGAATACGTTGTAGAACTTTTTGCCCACTTTTTTTTATCCAAACATCAAAGTAACATGTATTTCAGCCTCTTGGCAATTTTGCTACATATCTTTCTATTCCTCCTTAGGACAGAGCTGCCCCAGTTTCAGCTTCGCTGTATAATCACTTTTCTACTGTGGTGATTTTCTAAATGGCGGATTGGTGGACTGTTATTTTCCCACTGTCATTTATAAACACTCATGTAGAAGCAGCCTTCAGACGGCCACTGTGCTTGTCAGTGGCTGTAAACCAAGCCAATGTCAGATGGTTCAGTTGAGATACAGTGTACTGAGTCGATGTGAGTGGCTCTGTAGCATGTGATTGCTGTGATATCCTATCACAGTAATTATGTTCTACTTTTTACATTGTTGTTCCCATCACTTTCTTTTACAACATAGTAAGCAGAGGAAATGTAGCAAATTATGATTTGGAAATGCTGCTGCCGACCCTTTCATTAGTTTTCACTGACTGATAATCAAAGGGTATTAGGCTAGGTTCACACTAATGCGGTGCGGTACATTGCATGTGATTTGCACAGGAACCACACCAAATTCCTGTGCAAATTACATGCATTTGTGTGCGGTGCGATTGGAGCCATACATTTTGTATGGCTCAGATCGCACCGCACCCGCACCAGAAAGGTGCAGGACCCTTTTTTGGGTCCGCACTAGAATCGGATTGCATGGGTATTCACACCTATGTGATCCGATTCCGCACATCGCACCGTGTTTTGCAGACCGATTTCGGGGTGTTGTTAACATACACACCCGCAGCGGTTCACACAAATGGGGTGCAATCGTGTTGAGGTGCAAAATTCGCACAGAAAATGCTACAAATGTCGTACCGCATCAGTGTGAACCCAGCCTTACTGTCAGGCCCTGTTGAGTTCAGAGCAGGCCCATGCTCATCTCTAATCTCTAGCCCAGACTCCGAACTTACCCTTTTTAATTTTTTTAACTTCAATGAGCTTTGGGTCTGTGAGCTGTGGAGCAAGATAAGACCTGGTTTGCAACTTACTTGAGTACAAAAACATGGAGTTCATGTTAGTGATGACTTTACAGGGTGCGGAAGCTTCTCTCCAGTCCTGCTGTCTGCTCGCATACAACTACTTTTTATTTTTATATTTTTTAGCTCTCACACACTTGTCTGTTCAGACACAGACTACCTCTGTATTTTCACAGACTCTTAGACATCAGTCTGACTTGGCAGCCTGTCTTTGTTGGGCAGATAGGCTCCCCCCATGCCAGCTGTAGGCTGCTTTACAATAAATCAAAGGATGAGGACCTCACTCCTTTCAGTATTTGACCTTGGTAGTAGATGGATGCTTATAGTGACTGTAGTGCAGGGGTCCTCAAACTTTTTAAACAGGGGGCCAGTTCACTGTCCCTCACACCGTTGGAGGGCCGGACTATATTTAAAAAAAAAAAAGAAATTGCTATTAGTAAAATACATATATATATATATATATATATATATATACAGCGCTACAAAAACAATATACCAGCAATAACTTTGCCCACACAGAGAATACAGACTGCACTGCGCATCAATGCAGTCTGATCAGTGTCCATTAATGCAGCCTCACCAGTGCCCATCAATACAGTCTGATCAGTGTCCATTAATGCAGCCTCACCAATGCCCATCAATGCAGTCTGATCAGTGTCCATTAATGCAGCCTCACCAGTGCCCATCACTGCAGTCTGATCAGTGTCCATTAATACAGCCTCACCAGTGCCCATCAATGCAGTCTGATCAGTGTCCATTAATACAGCCTCACCAGTGCCCATCAATGCAGTCTGATCAGTGTCCATTAATGCAGCCTCACCAGTGTCCATCAATGCAGTCTGATCAGTGTCCATTAATGCAGCCTCACCAGTGCCCATCAATGCAGCCTCACCAGTGTCCATCAATGCAGTCTGATCAGTGTCTTCTCCTCGGCTGTCTGTCACTGCCCAGTACGGGAGAACTGCGGACAGCCCCTCCAGAGATCACAGACTCCACCCCTCTGTCATTTACTCACCGCTCTGGCCGGATCTTCATCCCCAGCACACAGTACTATCACTGGGGTGGAGCCGAGGGGCAGGTGAGGGAGAGGCAGACCCAGTCAGAGCGGTGCTGGTGGAATGAAAGTGAAAGTATGCAGGGGATGCCGCCGTGAAAGTACGCAGGGGGGTGCCAAATATTTCAAAACACCCGGCTGGCCGGATAAATGTCCTCGGCCGGCCATAGTTTGAGGACCCCTGCTGTAGTGGATAGTGCCATATAATTACATAATTCACAATAAAACTTTAAGACGTAACCAGCACTTCCACTGGAAACCTATACACTCATTTAATTAGTGCAATGTCACATCAGTCAAATAAGCCAATGTTTTAAAGCTGTGCAAGGTCCTTTCCTCAAGGTGAAATAGTGACCACAACAAAAGGTGCCCCTTTTGTTAATTAGAATAGTATCTGCTCTGTTTTCTAAATTTAGAAGAGTGGTGCAAGCTTGTGCTCCACCCACAGTGTTTGTTACTGACCTGCAACACCTCCACAGCCAACTGGTTTGAAATGCTATACAAATGCAGGGAATATGATATCATTCTCCTGTTAAGTAATGTAACAAATAGTTATAGAAGCAGTTGCTCCTGGAGTTCAGATATCCAGGTTCTAGCATTGCATTAATCACCACCAAAAGCAGGGCATAGATAAATTGAACAGACTAGTGCCACAAAACTGTCAAAAATTTAAATCAAAACATACCAAAGCACACCCAGGAAGGAGCCTGACCATGGCTTGGAGTGGGAGCTTGATGTGAGCGCTCCTGGCTCCCAAGCACCTCCAGTGTCCTGCCGAGAAGGGGAGAGATGTGCAGGAAGCCCTAAAGAGACTAGCCAGGGAGAGGGGGGGGCCTGCCTGGCGTGGACGGAGGACCTCCGGGAGTGGCAGCCATCGCGACGGGTCTTCCTGTGCTCTCGGCCCGACGCTGTGTGTTCCCCGGAGCTCAGTGGACGCCAGGCGATCAGGTGATCTGCCGCAGGGGAGCTCTGGGAGGCAGAGGAGCCAGTCGGCGTTTCTTGGAGCAAGGGAGACGCCGGCTCTCTTCCTCCTGCACACAGCACCGTGGCAGCTGGAGACACGCGGAAACGGGCTGGGTGAATCCCCCCCCCCCCCTGCAATCCACTCATTGTGTGAGGGGAATGTCGAGTGCAATGTTCCCCAGAAGAGAGTACCTGGAGCTGCCTCACCCCTCACTTGGAGTAAAGGAAGAGAAGTCCTAAAGTGCGGGAAAGTCTCTCAGAGAAGTTCAGTCTCTATAGAAACCAGAGATCTCATATGGGGAGAAGTATTCCTGTTTCGAGTGCGGGAAATGTTTTTCATGTAAGTCCTATTTTTATTTATACCAGTGATAATACAAGAGGGAGCAGCCATACCCTTGTTCAGAGTGCGGGAAATGTTTTTTTTATAGACGTCCAGCCTGCATATATATCAGAGACCTCACATGAGGTAGATGCTATATCCCTGTTTCAAATGTGGGAAATGTTTTCTCAGATTAATCTAGACTTTACATATATCAGAGATCTTACACAGGTGAAAAGCCGTATATCTGTCATGAGTGCGGGAAATACTTTTCAGTGAAGCCTAGTCTTCACACACATCAGAGATCTTACACGGAGGAGAAGTTGTATACCTGTTCAGAGTGCTGGAAATGTTTTTCAGAGAAGCCCTTTTCTTCATATATGACAAAGATTTCATACGGGGGAAAAGCCGTATTGGGGATAAGAGGGTGAGTGAGAGCGGCAAAAGTTCTGAGATTAATATATTGCATGGGAACTGAACTGTATGTATTGAACTATATGTTTAAACTGAGGAGGGGTTCACCCAGAGGGTCTTAGAGGAAAATCAGAAGGAGGACAATGTAAAACAGATAAGAAGAGGAGGACCCGGATAGATCAGTTAGGGAGTGGGGGGAGAGAAAAAGGAAGAAAAGACCTGAGAGGGGGATACTCATGGAAGACAACTAATTTTGATATCAAATAAAAAATAGACCTCCCCCTGACAACATGAAAAACAAAGTATCAAAGGGAGGAGGGCCTAAGCTTCCCAAACAGGGTCAATTAAAAAATACACACCCTCACAGGAGAAACAGACTCCAGACAGACAACAAGGAATAAGTGTAAGAGGTGAGAGGGAAAACAGTGGGGAATGTTCCAGACTGTCCCTGGGAATAGCTAACAGTAGTCAACATATGGAAGAAGAAGTGGATATGGATAAAGTAGAAGTCGAGGCACCTGTAGGAATTATTTGCATCAACTTTCAATTCCTAAAGGAAACTACAGTTAGCCCTGGTTCACACTGATGCGGTGTAGAATTCACAGCGTTTTCAGTGAAAATTCTGCACCGCATCAGAATCGCACCCCCTTCATGCGAACCACTGCGGGTGTGTATGTTAAGTTAATAACACCCTGAAAGCGGTTGCAAAACGCAGTGCAGTGTGCAGAATTGGATTGCATAGGTGTGAATACCCATGCAATCCGATTCTAGTGCGGACCAAAAAAAGGGTCCTGCACATTTTTGGTGCGAGTGCGGTGCGATCTGAGCCATACAAAATGTATGACTCCAATTGCACCGCACACAAATCGCATGTGATTTGCACAGGAATGTGGTGCGGTTCCTGTGTGAATCACATGCAGTTTATACTGCACTGCATATATGTGAACCCAGGCTAAATAATAATAATACCAAGAAAATATAATAAATGCCACTTTATTAACATTTTTTACTTTTACCTTTGTACCATTCCAAGTTATTTATGTAAGCTGTCTAAACTTAAAACTAGAAAATTGTGGTTGTTTTTTTTTTCTATTTTTTTTTTATCAATATGATCCTAGTTATGTCAAAAGCAGTACCTTTTGGGAGTCTGCTAAAATTTCACATGCACTGTTTTATGAACAAACTCTGGTGTTGATTCAGTCACTGTCATTCAAAACACATGCACCAGGTAGGTAGGTTCACCTGCAGAGAATGTTTGATGAATGTCAGATTTCACTGCTTTATAAACATGCCCCTTAAAGTAATCTGCAGGGAAAAAATTACCAATCCCTTCTTTAAAACGTAACTCCGGGTATGATCTGTATTGCATACATCCTTTGGGCCACCGTGGACAAATGTAAGTATGCATATTTCATACCTGAGGAACCACTGGGTTAGCTGCCGATCATAGTAGTTGGTGCTGCTACAGAGATATTTGCAATCTTTGCGTGGCACTGCAGTAAAGTCCAAAATTTATACAGCTTGTCTGAGAATTCAGAAAAAGGGGCAGGGAGATGAAGTTACACTTTGCACAGCTCAGTGAAGAGATTTCTGAAAGCTGATTGGAGGGAAGGGACCCCCTCCCCCCCTTTCACATAGCACACAGGAACAGAGATGAGGCTGTCAATCTGCTGGGGGCCCCTACCCTGTCACCATTTTTCTCTTGGTGTCAGGTAAACTTGTTAGAAGTGACTCATGCAGATAGAAGACAGAGGAATGAGGCAGCAGAGAGAAAAGACATTTAGTGCTCTTACTTGAGACAAGTACACGCTATAGAGAGATATGCTTTGTTAATATTTCATGTCTGAGGTTACAACCACTTTAATTTACCCACTAACTTTTTATATCTCGGAGACTTCTTTGATATCTCAGGAACCAACATGCAAGAAGGACATATCCACCTAACACTGACAGCTGCAGGTGGAGGGAGTACAGGAAACTGAAAAGATTATTCCACTAATTCTGAAATAATAATTCAACTTCACCTGCAAAGCACAACAAAAAAATTTGGGTGCAGTGGAATATTAGGTCTTAAATAAGAGCTCTACTACTGTAAAACATATTGAACATTATTTACTGTATGTTTGTTTAAGTATCACTTGCTATCGTCCATTTGTAATATGCTTTAGGAAACATAATCTCTTCGAACTCTTGTGATGCGTCCCCCAAAGGAGTCTGACGCTTGATTTTAAAAGCGACGCATATACGCTGTAAGCTTAAATGATACTATGTACTGAGAAGCTGCTTATCTTGCTGTGAAAGGTTTGGTTTATATATGTCTTTGTCGGTGTCAAATGATCCAAGAAGCCGAGCATCTGTTCTCTACAAGCTTTTATTGTGCCTGGAAAAGGATAAGTCAGCTTTATATAATGTGAGTAGTTCTTTACTGATGCCAGTTCACTGCTGTTAAGTAGAATGCTATGGAACAAGCAGTAAGGCAGTCATTGTAAGGAATGAAAGCTCCACCAGCGGCTGAAGCAAATAAGTTATCCTTGCCCTATAGAGGATTTTCTATTGCTCATTTGCAGTGATTTGTTCTTTTATATGGCACTGATCAGTATGGGAATTTGAAGTAACTATATTTAGTAGAAATGCTGTTTACTCAGAATTGTATGAAAGGCAAGGGCAATGCTAGATTTAAAAGTCTTAATGGTAAATTGTTTATTTAATTCAGTGGCACAGTGGTGGTGTTTCTATGGTTGTGGAACCAGGAGAGACGCATGTGCATTATAGCACCGCTTGTGGTGGATAGGCCAAGTATAACGATAAAAAAAAAAATCTTTGGAGGGCAGAAGTTTTTCGAGTTAGCTGTATACCTAGACAGATGTTTCAGTGATAAGAACTATAAAACAATGCTACACATGCCAGGAGCAATGGCCTCCTAGGACGCTTATTCCTCATTTTTCTCTTGGTGAGTCCAGTGTCCCGGTCTCAGTCTTTTCTGAAGGTCATTCTGTACTAGCTATATAGGTCAAGCAGCGTGAAAGAAGGGGTTCGATTTTTTTTTTTTAATCAACCAAAATTCCACATGTAGGGGCTACCAAGGTTCTCGCACACTAGAGTGCAGTACCCAATATAGTGTTTATATGACATTATCATTTTTTTTTGGACAATCTGATATATTAATTGCTGTCCTGTTGTATATTTTCCGATGCTAGCTAGAGATCCTGTTACCACCTTTTTTGCAGTCTCCGAAACATGCACTTAAAGTACCCCACACTTTGTCTGGGTCCCTTTTTAATTTTTTATTTTCATGTTGTTGTCAATGTCCTGCATGATTTTATAAGGTAATTGAAAAATGATTTTCCCAAAAGCGTTTTTTTTTTTTTTTTTACACTTTGAAGATAAGCATTCACCTAATATGAGGAGTGTGCTTTAATTTCTGTCATTATCTTTATAGGTTTGCCACATAGTTTTGGGTTTAAGGCCAGCTACCCCAGAAGAAGAAGGACAGATCATCAGGTTTACCATTATTATTCACTCTTTTTTTTTTTTTTTAATTCTAACTCCTATTGTTAAACAATACTTAACAGAATTTGCATTTGTTTTCAGGGGATGGTTGGAACGAGAAAGTCGGCATGGCCTCCAGTTTGGACATAACTGGTTTCTTATCTCTGTCCAGTGGTGGCAACAGTGGAGGGAATATGTCAGATATGTAAGTGCTGAATTAAAGTATATGTAAAGCCTAACAATGAACTTTGCTTATAAAGTATAGAAGAAAGATGCTGCACTGCTTGAACTGCCAGAATGCTAGCCTTTTGATGCATTTCACCCCACCCACAAGGCTTAATCAGAGTCTATATGTCTTGAGGAAACCAACTGAAATTAATTCAATACGTGGCCCATTCAGCCCTGCTCTGTTTGACAAGTCAGGTGTTAAATTACCTTTTGTCGAACCAGCCTGCTGGATAACTTTAACATGAACAGCGACTGCATCCAATTAGATGCAACTGCTGTTCGGGTAATTTGACAGTCAGCCCCGCAGCACATGATCTGCAGTAGGGGATCTGCGTTGTATAGCCAGCTTTGGAAACTGCCTGTCTTTTGTTAAAAGCCAAACAGTAGAAAGATAGGCTGTCTCTGCACCCTGCTGGGAGACACAGACATTTTCACTGAGGAAATGGGCATAGATTTGGAGTTACAACTAATCTCTCTGGATTTTAAGTGATCTGGTAGCGGTGACACGTATTTGATGATATACTTGTAATCCCCTGTTGTACAGGACTAGCTTTTTGCTTTGTTAGGTCCCTTTCACACTGATCAGTTTTTCACTTAAAAAAAGCAGAAGAAAATTCCTATTGGACTCCTCATATTGGTCAGTTGTGCTTCAGTTGCATTTTTAAACATTCTGCTTGCTGCATTTGTGCTGTGTGTTTGATGCATGTAAAAAAAAAAAAACGTACCTCCTTATTGAAGTGAACGAAAAATGCATCAAAAACACACCTGCAGTTGCATTTTTGGTCTGTTTTTTTTATTTAAATGTCCAAGTTTCACAGGTGCATGCCAAGAAGACACAGAGAAAATGCACTGCAATCAAATTACAAACGCAGCAAAAATGCATATGCATTTTAGAGCATTTTTGCAACGGAACAGTTTGAAAGGAGCCTTAGGGATTTTGGTTAATGCAATTTAGCACAAATTATAAAGAATTTTAAAATTGTTTCAATTACTATGTATAAATGAACAAAACATTTTTCCCCAGCACGCTTATTTTCCAATTTGGCTATCTGCTAATTTGTTCTGATATCTATTGCAGAATTTACGTTTATTCATTAAAAACAGTAAACATTTCTGTGTAGTTTATCTAATCTGATTATAAAGGGGTCATATGCAAAGTATGCTACAGTACAGGGTAGTAAATATGGTGCTGTCCTTGTTCATTTTTGTACTTATGGAATCCAGGTATTTTTAACATTCCTATACTGTACTGGATTCCTCAAAATGTTAAATTATGACCTAATTATAGGAAATGTGTGGCTCACTGGATAGCCAAGTGAAAATTTGTTGTGACAGATTAGTGTAGAA